TACATTTGTTCTTACCAATAATATATAATTTTTAATGTTATATATTAATTTACAAAATAATAAGCTTATTCTGACCTTGTCATATATATGTGTATAGTATACTTGATCATACTCTTCCTTTTCTTCCTCCTCCTTTTCCTGTCGTCCTCTCTTGACCTACATCCCCCCTACCATTGTTTAAGGTGAAATTCTTAAATTATTCTTACATGCTAATAATACTTAAGTTTATTCAGAATACAAAAAGCAAAATGACTTTCCCATTTTCTTCCTGTAAACAGTCATTAGCATGTCAATAATTTTATCTTTTATCAATCTATTTTCTATTTTTAAAGTAACAGTTAAAATATTTGTGCTAGGTTCACTCCTAGTTTTTGACTCTCTTCTTTGTTTTTCAGATGAAAGAATAGACACAAAAATATCAGAAGCGGTTTGGCTACCAGAAGAACATTATTCCTCTTCTCCAGAGAAGATCCCATCTCCTTTTTCACAGAAATACCAGGCTTGCAAAGCAAATCTCCAAAGTACCAGCAAGTTATCTCTGTCTTCTGAAATGGTATACAGTCAAGAGTTGGATTTGCCGGAAGGGGTTGAGATAATAAGTGTTAAGCCTTCAGCAGGTTTGTAAATTTTTAGAAAGAGACTAATCTAACTTTGTAAGCCATGAGTGTTTACTAGTGTTTTTAAAAGTAAGTACTATAACTATGAAATGCACACAGAAGCAGAAACGGAAATAAATGTATTATAATATATAGTGTTGATATACATACTGTATATATTTATTGTATATATAATATATAGTTGTATAATAATTAAAGACAACATTCTTATTATGTTTTCAGATTCTGTGACATTTGTCAACTCTTAAATATTTATTTCTTTAAAAAAATTAATTCTACTTGGGGGTAGATTATTATTTAATTTTCTCACTGCTGTGACTAAATACTTGACAAAAGCAACTTCAGAAAGGAAGGGTTTATTTTTGGCTCAAATTCCAAGGTGCATTCTATCATGGTGTAGAGATCTTGGTGGCAGGAGCTGAAATCATTGTGTCTGCAGTCTAAAAGTGAGAGAGCCATGAAGTCTAGTGCTCAGCTCACTTCATTTATTCTGTTCAGAAGCCCAGCCCTTGGAATGGTGTTGCCGCACTTACAGTGGTTCTTCCTAACTCACTCAAATCAGTCTAGAAACTCTATCACAGATATGTGCAGACTGTCTCTAAGTGCCATCAAGTTAATGAGATTAACCATCATGTTAGAGAAAAATGAAAGTTTCTAGCGATGGTAACAAGTTGTACCTTATTTGCCAATCTTTTTAGTGTTCATATTAGTTGCCTGGAGCCATGGACTAAGGACTGAGCAGGAATGCATTAATTTATCATCCTAATTCCAAGGTGGTAGTTTTCAAAATGCAATCTACAAAATGACATAAAATTTAAAATGACATAATTAGGGTCATTATCAATTTCTCTAACCTCAATTATGTCCTTTTGTAATGTTTTGAAGTCACTGAAGGTTTCAAAATAATTTATTACAATTCAGATGAAATATGCTTTAAAATGAGATAAGGGCTGGCAAGATGAGTCAGTGGGTAAAGGTGCTTACCTCGAGGTGTGACATCCTGAGTTTGATCTGCACATGGTGGAAAGACAGGCACATCATGGCACACATGCACCAACACAGATGCATACAAACTTAATAAACTAAGAAATACATAAATGTGACTAAGAAACACAAAATAAAATGTGATAAATGTCCTCTATAATATTTCAGTATTACAGTTACTTGTGTTTAATAGTTTAGGACAGAGGTCAGGAAATTGTAGGTCACTTATGTATTCTGGCGTGTGCGTGTGCGTGTGCGTGTTCGTGTGTGTGTGTGTGTGTGTGTGTGTGTGTGTGTGTGTGATGTGTGCATATCTGTGGTGGGGCACATGCAAGTGGAGGTCTGAAGCCAACATCTACTGTCTTTCCTTGATGAATTTCAACTTTATTTTTTAAGATATTTTTACTTTATGGGTATGAGTGTATTGGTGCATAAATTTAAGTGCACTGGTGTCGTGCAATGCCCACGGAAGTCAGAAGGGGCGTTGTATTCCCCTGGAACTGGAGTTATGGATAATTAGCCACCATGTGGGTGCTGGGAACCAAGGCTGGGTCCTCTGCAAGAGCAGCCAGTGCCCTTAACTGCTGAGCCATCTCTCCAGCCCCCTACTTTATTTTTTGAGACAAGGTCCCTCACTGAATCTGGGCTCATCAATTCAGCTAAGCTGGCTGACTAATAAACTTTAGGGATGTGCTTATTTCTACCACCTCCTACTCAGGCTTAAGATTAAGGTTGTGCTGCCATGCCCAACATTTTTGTTTTATTTATTCTTGAGAAATTCATGCATGTATACAAAGAAATATGATCATATCTACCATCATATCCCATCTCCCTCCTCTAACTTTCCCCATATCTTCAACACATCCTCTTCCCAATTCCATTCCCTCCCTCCCTCCCTCCCTCCCTCCCTTCCTTCCTTCCTTCCTTCCTATCTATAACCCAATAAGTTCAGTTAGTGCTGCCCATATGTATATAGATGTGGCACCATCCACCTGAGCATGGGAATCCTATAAGGGGTCACATCCTCAAAAACTAATGATTCTCTCTCTCTGAGAAACTGAACTGACAATAGCTCTTCAATAAGGGGCAGGACCTGGAGATCATCTACCCCTTCTATGATGGAATTTTGGCTGACTTGATCTTGTTCAGGTTTTATGCAGGTAACCACAGCTACACTGAGTTCATGAGTGCAATAGCCATGTCATGTTCAGAAGAAAGCATTTCACAGCACTCTTCCCCATCCTCTGGCTCTTACATTCCCTCCTCCTTCTCTTCCATGATGTTCTCTGAGCCTTGTTGGTGGTGGGATGGTTGATACTGGTGTCTTGTTTAAGACTGAGCACTCAGTCTCTTATTCTCAGCATGTTGACCAATATCCCTTTCTGCATTGACTGCTGCCCACTGCAAAGTGAAGCTTCTCTCACCATGTTTGAGAACAACCCAGTCTTCAGGTATAAACATAAATATTTAGAAGCCAATTTGACACCATGACCATCTAGCAAAATAACAAGAGTAGGTTCTGCCCTAGGGCCTTTTACCTCCCTAGCCACTGGCTTTTGACCAGGATTATAGTACCAGGCATGAAAGTACCCCCTGCAGGCCTCAAATCCAATCAGAAAGCCCATAACAATCAGGTTGTATTGCACCAGTGGGCACATTTTGCCTCACAAGTTGTTGCAGCATGCAGAGTCCAGCACTGGGTAAGACTACTGATGTCTTTTTCTCCCCCAGCAGCCTGTATAGCACCTTCTGGGACTATGAAATCTAACCAGCTGGAAGGAAGTTTCCTAGTCAGTTTGAAAGTGATTTATATGTCTTGCAGCCAAAGTGTGTGGTGTCTTCAATATTTGGGTCTTTCCCATGTAGTTAGGGGTTGGTTTGGAGACCTCTGGGACCTCCCTGACCTATAACTTGTAGGGTGGTATGCCATGCCTTGCACTGCAATTTTTACTTAATAGCCCATGTGTTCTGGGAGTGATATCGTTAATCCATATAGGATAATTCCATTTGTACTCATTTTTTTAAAGTTATTTCTTGAAATTAGCTTACCAGCTAGTGGATTTCATGCCCAGCTTTTTACATGGCTTCTAGGGACCCAAACTCAGGTCCTTGTGCTTCCATATCAGATACTTTACCCACTAAGCCATCTTCCTAGCCCAGTCACCTATCTTTTACAAATAAATTTGATGGAACACAACCATGCCTATTTGATATGTTTTGTTTTACTCTACTGTAGCAGAGTTGAGTGGTTGCAGCAAAGACCTGTGCCTGTTAACTGACAACCTGTTTTAGGAAACGAATAGTATATATCATCAATTTAAGCCTGAGTAAATACTAAGTTCCACTTAGGAATCCTAGCATCAGTGATATTAGTACAAAACTATGTTGGCATAAACATAAATATTTAGAAGACAGCTTGATGCATTGTCAATTTATCTAAATAACAATATTCAGTTCCACAGAAGGTGCTATGATCCTCCCCTTCATGGGTTTTTGACCTGGTTTATAGTACTAGTAAGAGAAGCCTCTTTTTGCTGTGTATAGTGGTAAATGCAGAGACTCAGAACTGCACAAGGTGCTGAGACTCTGTGACAGAGATGAGTGCTCTGCCTTAAATAAGATATTTATCCTTTCCCCTCTAAGGCTCAGGGAAAATTGCAGAAGAGGGGTCAGAAAGAATGTAAGAACCAGAAAATAGAAGGGCTGTAAAATATTATCTGCGCAAGACAAACTTACAAACTCACAGCAGCTAGTTATGCCTGAACAGGTTCTACACAAGAATGGGCCTGTCAGCAGTCAAGCGTGGAAAGAGGAGGGACTCAGGGCCAACTATTCAGTGCTGAACTATTTATTACTGACTATTCAGAGTCATTGCCTTTGGTTGTGTACCCACTGATGACCCCATCAGGCTCCACTGGCCACACAGATACCCCTGCTTAAACTAAATGGGTCACAAAACAAAATGAAAAGTCATGAACCTTAGAAAAAAGAGACTGGTAGAGATGAGAAGGGGGAAGATAGGGATGAGAGGGAGATTTTTTAAAAAAGGATGAGAGAGGAGAGAATCAATACATTAAATACAAGTATAAAATTGTCAAATAATAAAATTAACAACAACGAAATGTCTTAGAGATGGATCAGTGGTTAAGAATATTTGCTGTCCTTCCAGGGGACCTGGGTTCAATTTCTAGCACCCAAATGGGGGCTAATAACCATTCATAACTCCAGCTCCAGGGGATCTAACAACCTCTTCTGGCCTCTGTAGACATTGCACATACATGGTACACTTACATACGTGCAGGCAAAACACTCATACACATAAAATGAAAATATTTCAAAAATAATAAATAAAAGATTTATTTAAAAAAATAAAGTGAGGGCTAGAGAGATGGCTCAGTGGTTAAGAGCAGTTACCACTCTTCCAGAGTTCTGTTCCTAGCACCACATCAGTTGGCTTACAACCACCTATAACTCCAACTCAAGTAGATCTGACGTCGTCTTTGGATTCCATGGCACCTGCACAGACTCACACATATATACATGATTTAAAAATAAAAATAAATCTTTAAAAATAATTGTAAAGTGACCATTTGATACTTAGATAAGCATGGCTATTCACATTTGTGTTGAAAAATATGAAAAGGACCTATAGAGTCTTAACATTTTTTAATGTATTGATATTTTTAAAATGAGATGTATAATTATAAAGCTAGCAGCATATTGTGAAATGAATGATGGATTTAGAATCAAGATAATGTGCTTTTAATTATCCCATATAGTTTAGTTCAGTTTAGTCACAGATACTAATGTGTCTTGTCAGGGTCCTTACCTATAAAATGAAGAAATTGAAGTAAATTTTCTGAATTCTTTTTTTGCTGAAGGTTTGGGTGATATTTTTCTAATATATCTTTCTTTTTAGAAAAAGGATAATTTGCAGAAGTTGATTCTCTTTTTCCACTATATGGGTTCTGGAGCTTGAACTCAAGTCATTAGGCTTGGAAACAAGTTCCTTTACCTAATGAGTCGTCTCGCCAGCCCTGTAGTATATACCTTATTGGTGTCATTAAAAGCCTCTTATGATCTTGAGCCTTATATAGACTTTATTTTCTTAACAGTACTTTAAAAGTAACTACAACTTTTAGTTAATTAAAAGCATAAGTATTTGCCAGATGTTAATGACTTATTTTCTTTTTAGGACATCTGAGTTCTTCTTCCATATATCCTGTATGCAGTGCGCCTTATTTACTGGCAACTTCATGTTCAGATGAGAAAGTAAGATTTTGGAGATGCAGCGTAACAGATGGAGAGTCAGCCATATCAAAGAATGGAAAAATAGATCTTACATATACTTGGGAAGAATGGCCATTACTTATTGAAGATGGACTTCAAAGCAATAGTAGTATAGCTGTACCTGGTAGGCCTATAGAAGTTAGCTGTGCACATACAAACCGTTTAGCAGTAGCTTATAAGCAGCCTACATCTAATAGGTGGTCTCAGGAATTTATGATGCATGTAAGTATTTTTGAATGTGAGTCTACAGGAGGTTCATGTTGGGTCCTTGAACAGACAATTCATTTAGATGAATTAAGTACAGTGTTAGATTCTGGCATTAGTGTTGATAGCAATTTAGTGGCCTATAATAAACAAGAGACATATTTATTCAGTAGAGAAAGTATCACATCAAACACAAAACATTTGGTTCACTTAGATTGGATATCTAGAGAAGATGGTTCTCATATCTTGACGGTAGGAATTGGATCAAAACTTTTTATGTATGGACCCCTGGCTGGCAAGGTACAAGAACAGACTGGTAAAGAGAGCCTGATATTTCCTCTCTGGGAGAGTACTAAAATTGCACCTCTTTCTAAATTTGTACTGTTACGAAGTGTGGACTTGGTTTCTTCTGTAGAAGGTGCCCCACCTTTTCCTGTTTCTTTATCATGGGTCCGAGATGGCATCCTTGTGGTGGGAATGGATTGTGAAATGCATGTGTATTCCCAATGGCAGCCTTCTTCTAAACAAGAACCTGTTATAACAGAGTCATACAATGGAAGCACTCCATCTATACTAAGTTTAATTAAACAAAGTAACTCATCAAGTTCTGGGCTACATCCTCCAAAGAAAACTCTGACTCGATCCATGACCAGTCTTGCCCAGAAAATCTGTGGAAAGAAAACTACATTTGATCCTTCAGTGGATATGGAAGATTCAGGTCTTTTTGAAGCAGCTCATGTGCTTTCCCCAACTTTACCTCAGTACCATCCCTTGCAGCTTTTGGAACTCATGGATCTTGGCAAAGTTCGGAGAGCCAAGGCCATCTTATCACATCTTGTTAAGTGCATTGCAGGGGAAGTTGTGGCTCTGAATGAAACTGAATCCAATCAGGAACGTCGCCTTAGGTCTCTCACCATCAGTGCTAGTGGAAGCACAACCAGAGACCCCCAGGCATTCAACAAAGCTGAGAATACAGATTATACAGAAATTGATTCTGTCCCTCCACTTCCTTTGTATGCCTTACTTGCCGCAGATGATGATAGCTGTCACTCATCTGTGGAAAAATCTAGTAATGAAAGTTCTTTAAACAAATCAAAGCATTTGTCAAAAGGAAGTTATGATGAGCTGTTTCAGAATTCAGCTTTAATGCCTGATAGTCAGGTATTAGAGACAGATGAAGAAAACGCAAAGCCCAGAGTTATTGACCTTTCACAGTACAGTCCAACTTACTTTGGTCCTGAACATGCTCAAGTTCTTTCTGGCCACTTGCTTCATTCTAGTTTACCAGGACTCACCCGGATGGAACAAATGTCTTTGATGGCCTTAGCAGATACAATTGCAACTACAAGCACTGATATTGGAGAAAGCAGAGACCGAAGTCAAGGTAAAATTAAATTCTCTACAAGATGGAAAAAAAACAACAACTCATAATTTACTATAGCGAACACCATTTTAAAATGTCATTGCTAAAAAGAAATCATCTTTCTCAACAGTTTTAATAAGTACTGTCTAGCCCATAAATTATAGTACTGAGGACATACACAAATTCATGCCAGGCATTTTTAATAATTGTCTGTGTGATACAAAAGGTCCAGGCTGAATCCCTGTGAGTTTTGCAAAAATTTACACATTTTAAGTATTCAAATATGATAGTTTCTGTTGTTTTTTTCCTTATGTGGTGGTAATCCACTGTTAAAAATTACTTTATAATTAGGTTTTTTTCAAAATTAACATTGTGTACTCCTACTAGAATAATAAATATAAATAATAAAATTAGATCTTTTCATCACCCAGAGAATATTTTTAAAAAAATAAGAGATATTGGCTGAAGAGATGGCTGTCCTTGCAGAGGACCTGGGTTCGGTTCCCAGCACCACATGGCAGCTAATACCCATCCATAACTCCAGTTCCAGGGGATCTGACACCCCTTTCTGAACTCCCTGGGCATTACACCATACAGGTATACTTACATACAGGAATGAAGAACACTCATACACATCAAAATAAATTAATTAGTTCTAAAAAGTTTGAGTTATAGGGGCTGGAGAGATGGCTCAGCAGTTAAGAACACTAGTTGTTTTTGCAGAAGACCCAGGTTCGAATCCCAGCACCCACAAGGCAGCTAACAACTAACTGTCTAACTCCCAGACGGGATCCCAGGGGCTCTGACAGCCTCTTCTGACCTCCGCTGGCATTTCACGACATGGGTGCACTTAACCTACACGCAGGCAATACACGCATACACATAAAATAAAAAAAAGAAAAGTTTGAGGTATAAGCAAATTTGAATGGAGAATTTCCATCATATCTCAAATAAGGTAGGAAATTAACAAGTCTCTTGTCTTAAATCAGATTATAGGTCAGTAGGATTCACCATTGAACTAAGCTTGAGAGGAAAATAAGGAATAATTCAGCACAAAAAGTTTTTAAGAAAACAGTTCACACTTTTACTCTTTAGAAGGTTATGAATACTATTTTTTATGAGAGTATGTTACTGATATTTTATATTTTTAATCATTTAAAGATCAGACTATTATCATACTGTCACCATAACACCATTTCCTCCAATGTTACAGCAGATTACTGGATACATATATGATTTGAGAACATACAGGAAGTATTATAACACAGAAAAAAAATTAAACTCTTTAGAAAAGAATCAGGTCAGAGGAAGTGAGTTCATTCTCCTTTATTTTCCAGTTATTTAGCAAGAAATGTTTTCAGTTTTGCCCTTATATGCAGTTCTGTGCTATGTACTGATTGTCAAATTTAGTACTATATTTACTTTTAAGATTGTTTTTAGTATTTCATTTGCTTAAAAAATGGTTTTTTGCAACTAAAAGTAAAACACTTTTGTTTCTTGTAGGTGGAGAAACACTTGATGAATGTGGATTAAAATTTCTCTTGGCTGTTCGACTTCATACCTTTCTTACAACTTCCCTTCCAGCCTATCGAGCTCAACTCCTGCACCAAGGTGATTGTCATACAAGGACATAAGGGGAATAGAAAAAGACTTGGTAGGACAGAAGGAGGAAGGAGGGAGGTAAAGGGAAAGGTTTATTCACCCCTCAAATTGATAAAATTGGTGTGTAATTACTATATTACTAACATTGGAGCATTACAAATATGTATATGTATATTACTATGTCTGTACATATACATATGTATATATAATTATAAGTAACAGACGTCCCACTGATAACTAATTTAAAACCAAATAGTTATAGTTCCAGTACCAAGTATTAGAAGAGGTAATGCTTAGTTGCAGCGTTATTGGCTGTATGGGTCTAAACAGTGTCACTTGGACTCTGCATGTTAACATTGAGTCAGTCTATCAGTCTCTTGCTCTCTTCTTTCAGTTCCTTTGTTTCTCTTTCTGCTTGCTCCCCTGCTCACCACCTTGTTTTGGGCTTAACTTCAGGTGAATTTTCAAGCGTTAATTAAAATGGTGAAGATAATCCCCCACTGGCCATGTCCAGACACCTAGCTCAGGTGAATTTGCATCCATCAAGTTAACCGCTAGCACTAGTCATCCCATTCTGTCACCTCAAATACTTTTTATTTTTATTTTTTTGGAGTGAAAACATTTGAAATTTACTATTAATAAGTTTGAAATATTCAGTTACCTATTTTAGAAGGTGGTCATCCTGCTATGCAGATCATCTTTTGAATAGTGCCTTCCCCACTTCCCCCTAGCCTTTTGTAACCACCATTCATTCTGATCATTGTTTGAGTTGCCACATGAAACCTCAAGCTTTTGCCTCTTTCTACCTTTCTTTAGCATAATGTACTCCAAGTTCATTCATGTTGTTGCAAATATGACAGAATTTCTTTTAAAAACAAACCCATTAGAATTCCATTGTGAATATATACATTTTCCTTGTTTAGTCACCCATTGATAGGAATTTTGGTTGTTTCTATACCTTAGCTAATATGAATAATGTTGCAGTGAACATGGGAATGCATTTATCTCTCCAACATACTGATTTTAAATCCTTTGGATATGTACCCAGAAGTAGAACTGCTGAATCATATGGTAACTAACTCCATTTTTAGTTTTTTGAGGAAATTCTGTATAGTTTTACATAATGACTAGAATTTATTTTTTTAAAATAAATAATTTATTGACAATTTCATACATGCATATAAGGTGTTTTAATCAAATCCATACCTACTCTCTCCCCTCTAACTCCTTCCATATCTCCCCATCACTTTTTTCTGATAACTTCATGTACTCTTTCTTCTTCTTTATTTATTTTTTATGGGGCTTTTGGATACTCTAACATTCTCCCCCTCTAAAGAGGTAACCCTGTAATCTTTTAAGGATTAGATAAAAGCTCCCAAATATTTTTGACATTTTTGGCCTTTGGAATGGAGTATGTTGCTAAGAGACCCAAGGACATTGTGAGTTTTAGCCAAGAAACTGACTACTTTTCTTTGGGGTCCTTTTACCCTAACTGCCTAGCCAGTTCCTACTTCCTGTTCTTATCACCTGAAGGGGTTATCCAAATTGCCAATAGGGAATGGGGACGCAGACCACTCTGGCTTCTTCCATGCTGAACGGTGATGCAGGTTGAGGCAATTGGAGTACCCCTTCAGTGGGTCTATCTAAAAGACTCCCAAATTGCCTCTTATCGCTAGGGAGAAAAGAAAGTCCTTGAATCATGAATAGGAGATGTGAAGGAGAAGTAAAGGCAGAACTAATACAAGTTCTAGACAGGGAACTAGAAAAAACTCAGAACAGGGCAATTTTCAAATGTTCATATGAGAGGCCATTGGAATTTCTTGACAAGGGCTTCCAAAAGCATCCCTCTGTTGGGTTCCTCCTCATTTTTCTTTTGTCTGCCAAGGCTGGACTCTAGACTTGATGGATTCAAGATTTGATTTCAGGTATTTTGATAGCTGTTGGAGTAGTTAGAATCAGTGTCAGTTCCCTCTCCAAGGCTTCTAGATAGGGGGAGAAAACAAATTTATCCATCATTTTAGAACAAAAGCTGGTTATCTCCCTTAGCTACAGGTGGGCACTACAGTATTGGAGACCAAGATTTGAAGTCCTACATCTGAGCAGCACTTCTTAGGAACAAAATCATCAGTGAGAAATAATGAGCACCTTACTGACGAAGCCATCCAGCCAACACTTCTTGCGCTTTTAATTCACGTTTTGTATTATTCCATTTTCTCTCCTTTTTATCATATTAGTTGTTTGTTACTGTGATAAAATACCCTGACAGAACTTAGGGACAGAGGGTTTATTTTGACTCACGGTTTGAGGGTACACCACGTTATGGCAGAGCAATTCAGGTAGCAGGAACTCAAGACAGGTAGTCCCACTGTGCCTGCTATTAGGAAGCCAAGAGTCGTGAATTTCCAGATTTCTCCTTTATACAGTCCAGAACACCAACTCAGAGAATAACAAACACATACAGGATGGGTCTTGCCACTTCAGTTAACCTACTCAAGCTAATCCTTCATAGGTGTGCCCAGAGGCTTGTCTCTCTGGTGATTCAATATTAACCATCACATTCACCATATCAGTTAAACTTTCGTTTTTACATTTCTTTAGTATTGTTTTAGAATTTGCATTGTAAATTTAAAACTACTCTAGTTCTGTTTTAAATTAGCATTCTACTACTTCACTGGTAGTCTGTGTGTGAACACCTTAGAATAAAGCAGTTTTGGTTCCTTTCTTCTGTCTGTTGTATCATTGTTGCTATTAAATTCACCTATACATAAGCATACCTATACCTGTACCTAAAAAATACACACAAGTAGGACTGGGCATTTAGCCAGTTGAAAGAGTGCTTTCCCAGCTTACATAAAGCCCAGGCTTCATCCCAGCATTTCATAATAGTCCCAGCACTTGGGATATGAAAGCATGGGGATCACAAGTTCAGAATCTTCTTTAGATACATAGGGAGTTTGAGACCAGCCTGGGCTAAAGCCTCTATCTCAAAAACAAAATCTAAACAAAGAACAAAGTCATACGTAAGTGTGTATAATTTTAAAAATCCTTAACTGATCTAACATAGAAGTTTATTTAAATTATATTAATTTAAGAAAACTTTGACATGTTAGATCAGTTAAGAATAAAAAAAAACTTGATGGTCACCGTTAAGTCCAGTACTGAGGAGGCAAAGTAGACTGAGCTCTGTGAGTACGAGGCCAGCCTAGTCTACATAGACAGTTCCAGGCTAGCCAGGGCTACATAGTAAGACCCTGTCTGAAAAAAAATATTTTAAAACCCCAAATGTTAAATTGTATGTTAGCTTACTGTCCTTCCTCAGTAGTTTATGTAGATTAAAGTTTCTGACCTATATTAGTTTCCTTCTGAAGCATATCTCAGCAATTTTTTGGGAGGGCCCATTTACTGACAGTGATTTCCTGTTTCCTGAGAAAGTCTTTCAACTTTGAAAGATAATTTAGTTGAATATCTTATTCTAGGTTGGTGGATTTTCCTCTCAGCGCTTGAAAAATTTCACTCTATTTTCTTGATTGCATTATTTTCAAGGAGAAATAAGTCCTGTCCTTGCTCTTCTATAAGTAAGACTGTTTTTGTTTGGTTTTTAACTTTGGTTGAACACTTTCTCTTTATGTTTGAGTTTCTGTAGTTTGAATGTAATATACTCAGGTGTATTTGCTGCTGCTGATGATAACACAAAAGTTCTTTTTTTTTCAACTCGTGCTTGGTGTTCTCTGAGCTTTCTAGATCTGTGATTAATTTGGAAATGTTCTCAGCGTTTACTTAAAAATGGCTTCTTTTTCCCCCTTTTTTCTCTTTCTGGTAGCTCATCTCTGGTTGAACCTTTTGTAACTATCCCACAGTTATTGACATTTTGTTCTGATTTTAATTTTTTTTTCAGTTTCAGAAGTTCCTATTGTCCTATCTTCAGGTTTATTTCATCTTTCTTTGGCAGTGTTGAGCCTACTGATAACTCCATCAAAGGTGTTCTTTATTTCTGTTTTGATTTCTAGTATTTCTTTTTGATATTTGTTAACTTTTCTATTTCTCTGCTTATATTTATCCTTTTTTTTCAGTGATTTTTCTAACAAAGATATTCTTTACAAAAGAACTACATGCAATGTACCTGTTCTAGTTTGTGACAAAACACTCTGACCAATACCAACTTGGGGAGGAAAGGGTTATTTGGCTTATATCTCCTGAATCACAATTAATCACAGAAGGAGCCCAAGGCAGGAACTCAGGGCAAGAGCCTGGAACACAGACCATGGAAGTACGCTGTTTACTAGCTTGCTCCCCTGGCCTGCTCTCAGACTGTCTTCTTATACAATACAGGACCACCTGCCCAGGTATGGCACCACCCACAGTGACCTGGGCCCACCCACATCACTCAACAATCAAGAAAATGCCCCACGGACATGGCCAGAGGCCACTCCAATGGAGATAATTCCCCAATTGAGGCCCTTGCTACCCAGAAGTGTCAAGTTAACTAAAGCTATAGTAACCACTATTCTCCATTCTTTGATTCTATGAACTTGACTCTTTCAAATAGCTTATGTGATTAGACTAATGCAGTACCTATCTTTCTGTGACTAATTTATTTTAGTTAGTATAATGTCTTCAAGGTTTATTAATGTTATATATTGTAGAATTTCCTTTACAAAGGCTGATTATGTCATTGTATATGTAAACCATATTTTTATATTTTTTTTATTTTTTACTTTTTTAACTTAAAATTTTTATTGAGAATTTCATACATGCATGTAAGGTGTTTTTATCAAATCCACACACACCCTCCCCTCTAACTCCTCCCATATCTCCCCATCACTTTTTTTTAACAACTTCATGTACTCTTTCCTTCGTTCCTTTGTTCCTTCCTTCCTTCCTTCCTTCCTTCCTTCCTTCCTTCCTTCCTTCCTTCCTTCCTTCCTTCCTTCCTTCCTTCCTTCCTTCCTTCCTTCCTTCCTTCCTTCCTTCCTTCCTTCCTTCCTTCCTTCCCTCCCTCCCTCTCTCCCCCCCTCCCCCCCCTTCCTTCTTTCTTTCTTTCTTTCTTTCAATGGTGCTTTTTGCTATTCTGACAATCCCCCCTCTGAAAAATAACTCTAAAACCTTTTAGGGGTTAGATAAAAGCTCCCAAATACTTTTGACATTTTTGGCCTTTGGACAGAGTATGTTGCTAAGAGGCCCAAAGACATTTTGACCTTTAGCCAAGAAACTGGCTACTTTTCTTTGGGGTCTTTTTACCCTAACTACCTAGCCAATTCCCACCTCCTATTCTTATCACACCATCCTTTGAAGAGGTTACCCAAATTGCTGATAGGGAAATAGGGAATCAGGATGCAGACCGCTCTGGCTTCTTCCATGCTGAACAGGGGTGCAGGCTGAAGCAATTGGGATACCCCTTCACTGGATCTATCTAAAAGACTCCCAAATTGCATAACTCTTATGTGTAGGGGGAAAAGAAAGTCCTTGACTGGTAAATAGATGTGAAGGAGAAGTAAAGGCAAGACTAATTAGCATCACAAGATCCAGACAGGGAACCAGAAAAAAGTCAGAACAAGGCAAATTTCAAACGTTCAGATTTCTTGACGAGAGCTTCCAAAAGCATCCCTCTGTTGGGTTCCTCCTCATTTTTCTTTTGTCTGCCAAGGCTGGACTTGAGAGTGATAGATTCAGGATTTGCTTTGAGGCATTTTGATAGCTGTTAGAGTGGCTAGAATCAGTGTCATTTCCCTCTCAAAGGCTTCTAGATAGGGGAGAAAACAAATTTAGCTATCATTTTAGAACAGTAGTTTGTTATCTCCCTTAGCTACAGGTGGGCACTACAGTATTGGAGACCAAGATTTGAAGTCTTACATCTGAGCAGCACTTTCTTCTTAGGAACAAAATCATCAATGAGAAATAATTGATTAACATTTTATATGGACTTAAGCCTAATGTCTGGAAAGTGTAATCCCTTGAACTCTTAAAGAAATATATACTGATCTGGGGCTGGAGAGATGGCACAGCAGTTGAGAGCACTGACTGCTCTTGCAGAGAACCTGGGTTTGATTCCCAGTACCCACATGGCAGCTATGAACTATCCTTAACTCCAGTTCTAGGAGAATCTGATGCCCTCTTCTGACCTCCAGGGCATTGCAGGACATGGGTGTGCTCACATACATGCAGGCAGTACACTCATACACATAAAATAAAAATAATAAAATATTTTTTTAAAAAAAGAAAAGACGTATATACTGATCACTTTCATCTTTGGTTATACTTTCCTTTTGGGTGTTTAAGCCCATACAGTTGGCCCAAATAAACCAATTTATTTTTACTCTTAAGGTTGTTTGAGGATCTGTTCATCAGGGGCCATATGGGCTTGGGAGGAGCCCCTGGCTCCTTTGTTTCACTGGTTCCATGTATGTGAAGAGAAGTCAAAGGTCCTGCTCGGTCATGGCTGGCTTCATTTGGAAGCGTTTCCTCTGAGTTGACCCTCCTCTTTATAGATTGGACACTGGTTCACGTCCATCTGGTTGGGTCTCCATGTCCTCCCTGAACAAGAGGACAGGTGACTCACCACAGTTACAGTACATTTTGAGAGATCCTCCATAGTCCCCTGGAATTTAGTCATCCTTGGAGGGCAAGGAGTAAAGAACTGTCTTTTAAGTCCCTCTGACCAGATTAGTATAGACCTCTAGGTATGACTATTACAGATCCAATAAGGTTAATTCCACCAGTCTGGTACTTTTAATTACCATGTGCTATGTAGATAAAGATTGGACAAAAACCAAATGTTTCTCAGATAAACTTTGACTAGATATATACTTTGTTCCTTAAACTAGTTGACTAAACTATGACTATAGATTTTGTCTCATCCTTTATATATCATAGCAAACTTACACAGAGCTTTCATCTCTTGCTTAGACTTTGTCATTTTTTCTGTATATTTTGGAAAATATCTCTGTTCCCATATCCTTTTAACATCCTCTTACATTCTCATTTTCTTTTTTTAATAATTATGAGACATAATAACATTAACAAATAAATTTTCCATCTGTTGTGAGAATTCTTTTCCCGGGGATACTAAGCAGTGCTTATCCCCTTTTAAGGTTCTAGTATCAATCAATGTTTAATTAAAGGTTTCCTGGAAAACAATGAATTTACTGAGCTTACTTACAGAGATGACTTAGGGGTTGCTGAGGTGTATGAGTGGCCTGAGGGTATGTACACAGAAAGCCTTTACCCAGTATGGATCAAGCTGTCTCTTCTTAGCCTTCCTCAGATTATATAATTTAGCCCTCCCCAAATCCAGGAGACCATGTGTAATTTGGGCCAAAATATATACAGTTGGCTGGGAAGAGTGGCTGTATACTCCGGAGAGAGTCCAGTGACCCTCCTTGCCCCTCCTTTAATGATGGAGTACAACTGCCAACAAGCCCAATTATGTGTTTAGCAAGCAGGCACAGCTGAAGTCATGATGATGGTAGTTATTTCACACAGAAGAGACTGCTGTGCAGCATCATCTTATTAAAGGAACATGGAATTTAAAAGGATTTGGTGTTAGGATCCACAAATGAGGGAGAAGATACTTTTGTTTTTCTGGGTCTGTGTTACTTCACTTGGTATAACAGTTTCTAGATTCATCCATTTACCTGCAAATTTTGTTATTTCATCTTTCTTTACTGCTGAATAGAACTCCATTGTGTAAATATACCACATTTTTTTAACCACTCATCAGTTGAGGGGCACTTAGATTGCTTCCATCTCTTAGCTATTGTGAAAAGAGCAGCAACAAACATGGATGTACAAGTGTCTCTAAAATAGGATGAGCCTTTTGGGTATATGCCAAGGAGTGGTATAGCCAGGTCATATATAAACCATATTTTTAAAACATGTATTTGTAGATGGGCATTTAGATTGTTTCCACTTCTTGCCTACCATGAGCACTGCTGTAGTGAGCATATGAATGGTAATATCTCTTCAAGGAAAAGAGATTTTTTCCTTGCCTAGATTAAAACTATAAAGCCATATGCATCCAAGTCATATCTTATAAATAATCCTTTTTTAACCCAGTAATACCAAATAAAATATATTGTGAAAAGACATTGTGTTAAGATATATTAATAATATGATGAGATAGCACAATAACAATGTTTATGGTCTAGGTTATATTCTAAATTGCTTAACTCTATTGCTTCATTCAGTCCTTAAAACTATATACCATGGTAGTATTAAAATCGTGCCATTTTAAAAATGAAGATTTGAGACTTCCTCGAGGTTATGCATTTTAGTTTTTAACAGAATTTGAATGTTATGTATGCACTAATTTCAGAGTCTTTAAGCATTAGTCTACTACTTTTTATGTGATTCCAAGGAGTTCTTTAATTCCCTGGAGTTAAATCTATAAAACAGATATTGTTCCAAGGGAAAGGAGAAGCAACATTGAAAAGGAAAGCATAGCAGTGCTATGTAATAATGCTTCAAGTGTTTCTCTTTTGCTCGAAGGGATCATAGGTTGTAGCTGGAGCGCAAAAACACTGAAATCCACTGATTTTCTCTAAGAATTTTTTGATATGTTTTCAAATAAATATCTGTTAATTATATAAAATTCATATCCGTAGAGAAGTATAATTGTTTGAAGAAGCAATAATAAAAAATAACTCAAATTTCCAGAGACATTAAAAGTTTGAAATGACAATGTCTTCTCACCAATCTAAGTAACAATTTACAAAATTAATAAGGCAGACTAATATTATTCAAGAGCAAAAAACCTGTTCCTAGGAGTGCCAAGACTGTGTCCCAGACTATCTGATTTCTAGTCTAGACCTGCCACCATTGCACAGTTTTAAATGGCTATAGACACAGTACTCCTAAAAATGCTTAGTACTTAATAGTGAGTGTCTCCTCAGAATTCTGTCCTATAACCTTTCACTTCCCATGCTATCTATTCCCAAGATTTTACTCTCTCTACACGTCTGTCATGGCTTATCTAAAAGAAATCCGACAGTCAAGGAATTGTTATTTTACTCTGTATTTTGAGTACCTAGTTTATGTTCATTGATACAGATAATTCACTGACATAGTAACTGAAATTGTTGGGATTAATTTATATAATTGAAAAGCTTCAGAACATTTGTATTTTACTGCACACATATATAGCATTTATTTCTGATAATCATTGTATATGCCTGTTTACATTTCTTATTAATGTCACTTTTGACATTTCTCCAGGCCTCTCTACTGGTCATTTTGCTTGGGCATTTCACTCTGTAGCAGAAGAAGAGCTACTGAATATGTTGCCAGCAATGCAGAAAGATGATCCCACTTGGTCTGAACTAAGAGCCATGGGTGTGGGGTGGTGGGTCCGCAATACCCGCATCTTACGCAAATGCATAGAAAAAGTGAGTATTTATTTGGGTGTGAAGAATGAACCAGTATATTTTGGGTATTTCTTTAAATGGCATCATATATCTCCTGTGCTATTAGTTATTCAATTTTGTTTTAGAAACAGCATTAGTGGTGTGTGTGTGTGTGTGTGTGTTATTGAGAATTGAATGTAGGCCCTTATCCATGCCAGGCAAGCATTGTACCAGAAAGCAGTGTCCCCAGCCCTCATTTTCTTTTTATTTTTAATGGTCTCACTAACTTGCTTAGACTGGCCTTAAACTCACTCTGTAAGCCAGGTAGGCCTTGATTGTGCAATCCTTTTGCCTCAACCTGTTCAGTAGTTGTGATAACAAGCCTCAGTCACCAGGCCTAGCTATCACAAAGCTTTTGAATAGTCTTAATATTTTAAAATATAATTTTTTAAAATTGTTATTTTAATTCCTAAACCTCTAGTTAACACTTATGAGAGAAGTTATTTGTTCACTTATGAACTAGTTCTGTGAAAGATTGACCAATACTTTGTAATTGTAGGTAGCCAAAGCAGCCTTCCATAGGAATAATGATCCTTTAGATGCTTCCATTTTTTACCTTGCAATGAAAAAGAAAGCTGTGATTTGGGGATTATATAGGTAAGTAAAAGACTCAGCTTCAAAGCTAAAAACTTTCTTTAGGAGTGAATGCATGCATAAAATATGCTCTTGATAAGTATCCTCTTAGTTCTTTTTTTGTGTTTAAAGAGATACTTGATAAGGAAAAAGCATATTGTCTTCCATAGTGAACAAGACCAGATGATGTGACTTCAATTTGCTTTGTTATTTATCAATCAAAGAACATACTTTTTGCTTATTGTACAACTATTTCTTCCAGCACTAAGAGGCAAGGAGGAAAAGGGGGTAGAGAATAAATTTGTCAAGGTGCATTTGCATCAGAGTTAGGAAAGAGGGTGGACTAGTCAGGGATCTGGAATAAGCACCTATCCTCCGCTCATTGAAAGCACATGCGCCAGGATATCCCTCAAAACTGCTGTGCTTGGGGCTATCATCCTTGTTACCTTCATTTTTCAGAGGACTTGGTGAACTTAAGTGCCATAAATAGTTCATTGTTTATTTGAGGTTCCTGTTTCAGGAAAAAGTTTTGATATTTAATGAGTTTTCTAAGAGACTAAGATTTTCAGGATTGTTTTCCATCAGGGCAGATTCCTTTGATTTTGGTTACCAAAGTCATTCCTAGATGGGCAGGATGAGATTTTAATTGTAAAGTAGAACAAAAGTTTGTATAAATTACCTTAATGTAGAATATGATAGTATGATTTTACATGAATTTGAAGGTGATTTTTTTTTTAAGAATACTGCTAATGCAGTTTGAAGGAATTTTCAAATAACCTGAGATTTATTAAATGCTTCTTTAAAATTTTACTGGGAAAAGACACAGATGTACAGAGAATTAAAAAGACACAGATGTACAGAGACTTATGAATTGACAGATTTTTTGGGTTTTATTGAATCCTAGCTTTTTTGAGGGCTTTAGGGGTAGGAAGCTTGGTCTTCATATATATCACAGGCTAGCTTCAAACGTAACATCTTTCTGCTTAAAATTCCCAACTTTTAAGTCCTAGGTATAGAAGACTAATTCAAAAATTATATTCTTAAATTTTTATACTTTCTTTATAGATCTCAAAAAGATGCTAAAATGACACAGTTTTTTGGACACAATTTTGAGGAGGAGAGGTGGCGGAAAGCAGCTTTGAAAAATGCCTTTTCTTTACTAGGCAAACAAAGGTTTGAACATTCTGCAGCATTCTTCCTTTTAGCTGGGTGCCTCAGAGATGCAGTTGAGGTAATGAATTGAACCGTCTTTTTAAATTAGCGTTATAATTCTTTCAAGCAATTAATCTCAGTGTTAAAATGTTATTTTTTATTTCAGCAATATTAGAAATAATATACTAAATATCTAAATTACCTAATAATTTTTAACAGCTTCTAAAAGTTAATCATTTAGCTTGAATGGTATTTTTACAAAATGAGAATGAAGCAAGTTTTGATAGTTTGTAGAATGGGTAGTTCATATGACTTAAAATAGCCATAGATTTTTTTTAAAATGAAAGGATCTGTTCTGTTGTGTCAATCTACGTATGTATGACTCTTCTACTTCATGAACTTTAGAAAACATCTACAGCCCAGCATTTCTATTTCAGTTTGTTCTTTGCTTGGTCTTACAGATAAGTCAAATAGTCTTTCAATTTGAAAACATTAGTCAACTCAGGTGTACTTAAAAAGAATAGCGATTCAAAAGTAAAATATAATATATAGCTTTAGTTTGTACTGTATAGAATTACCTGATATAATGCTAAAGCAGGCAGTATAATACATATATATTATATTCCTTGCTTACTAATTTGGAGATTAATAAATCCTTACGTGATTATAGTTAGTAAATTGAGTTGGTCTTAAAAGCTTCCTCTACTTATTTATAAACTATTTTTTTAAGGTGTGTCTTGAGAAACTGAATGACATTCAGTTGGCTCTTGTAATATCAAGACTCTATGAGTCTGAATTTGATAAATCAGCAACATATAAATCTATTTTACGCAAAAAAGTTCTGGGAATTGATTCTCCTGTCAATGAACTTAGTGCACTGAACATGACTGCGCATTATGATCCTTTTCTACGGAGTATGGCATATTGGATTTTAGAAGATTATAGTGCTGCTTTGGAAACATTGATAAAGCAACCAATCAGAGAGGATGATGGTAAGCTGCACTTCTAAGATGTTCATCAGTAAAAGTGTTACTAGTACTTGCTCAGTGTGTTGGATCACTGTCTGGTCTAGTGGTAATACAAAACAATTTTTGGTCTTTGTGATTTCATAGTTTAGATGAAAGTATAAATTTATATACACAATTTTGAAGTTTTGTTGTTTTCAAAAGGATGAACCATTTGAAAACCAAGAATTTTAGATTATCTAATTTTATGAAATGAGTGTATTGAGCATAAATATTTGCAACATTTGAATTTAATTACTTTGAAGAAATGTTGATATAAAGCCAGTTTTTTAATCTTAGGTTGGATTATTATGCTTGTTAATTTTTCCAGTTTCATAATTTTATAAGAAAAGTACATTCAGTGTAAAGAAAGTTGACTTACATGATGTGATTAGATTTTAAGCTCGTGACAAGAGGTGGGTCACAAATTAAAAACAACAGCTCTTGCAGAGGAACTGGGTTCAGTTCTCAGCACCCACTTGGCAGCTAACAGCCATCCTTAATTTCACTTCCATGGGAGCCAATGCCCTCTTTTGACCTCTGCAGGCATTGTATGGATACATGGAAACAAAACACTCATATACATAAAATAAAAACAAATAAATCAAAAACTTTTTAAATTTTCTAATTTTTTTATTCTGAAAAGCAGATTTATTTGAATGCTTTGTATAGGTGTATTTAAGGCCTAGCACTCAGTTTTATTAGAGTGTGTATGCACACGTTGAATTAGGAAAAACTTGCTTTCATTAAATCTTACATAATTGAATATAACTTCTGTAGTCTATTTAAACAGAAAACCTTTCTTTTAAACATCCATATTGGCAATTTGGGTAACCCCTTCAGAGGATGGAGTGATAAGAATAGGAGGTAGGAATTGG